GCGGCGGCCTGACACGGTGGCGACTTGGCGGCCTGATGCGGGCGGAGCTGCGGAGCTACGGAGGGCGGCCCAGGCATGGAGAGGCCTAGTGAGGCCTAGCGAAGCCCAGCCTGGTGGCTTAGCGGCCAGAAAGACCTGCGGCCAGACGCGGCCAGGAAGATCTGCGGCCAGGAAGATCTGTGACCCGACACAGCGGCGGCTTGGCGGCCCGACGCAGAAGCGGCCTAGCGACCCGACACGATGGCGGCCTGACGGCCCGATGCAGCGGCGGCCTAGTGGCCCAACGTGGTGGCGGCTCGGCGGTCCGAGGAAGATCCGTGGCCCGGGGCTGTGGCGACCTAGCGGCCCGACGCGGCGGCGGCTTATTTCCCTTCCCTCTTTATGGGGCCCAAAAGATCTGGGAATTATACCGCCTTTCCTCAATCCATCTTACCCCGATTAAGACTGCCACCATGAGGACTTTCTCCCCTCCCCTACTTTGCTGTTGGACCTCCGGTATGACTGTGGACTGTATTCGAGGAGGGAACTGCTGGCCCTGCGCGACTCCCCCATCGCGCAGGCATGGCCCAATACCATTCTAAGGGTCGGCCTTGATGAAGGGGTCTGGAACCCCGAGAGGTGGCATTCAGCGACAGCACTGAGGGAACTAAGAAGAAGAAAATTAAGGGTCTTCTTAGAGGGGTGTTTTATTAAATTTTTAGGGGGTTCGGGGTTGGCCCGAGAGGAACTAGGGGAGTCCTCTCTGAGGCCAAGGCCGGTCCTGTCTGGGGGGCGCGGAGTGGTAAGGGAGGAGACTGGGGAGCTGGCGGAGGGTGGTGCGATAGGTACGGTCAGTGGGAGGGGCAGATACGGCGGGAGCAGAGGACCATATCGGGTTTTGGGAGCACGCACACGCTGCTTACAAGCTTGTGGGTGCTCCGATCCTTAGGGCTCTACTCGACTTCCAGGGACCTCAGATCCTCAGGCCCGGGACCATCGGCTGATGCTGTGCAATGCCAGGTCCGTGGTGAATAAGGCCCCCCTCATCCAAGAACTTATTCATGAGGGGGGAGCGGACCTGGCAGGTATCACCGAGACCTGGTTGGGCATAGAGGGGGGAGTTCCCCTTGTTGATCTGTGCCCACC